GTGGTGGCATTTCCCAGTGGCAGGAAAATCACTTCGAATCCTCTGAACTTCATGACAAGTTCTTGAGTCACCTTTCTTGCCTTGAAGACGTCGTTTCTCACTTAACTGGCTTGGCTGGTAATGGTTAAGTTCCATTTTTTAGCTCTTCAATGGAAAATTGTCTACAGAAGACCAAGGACCAAGTTACTGACTCCAAATTGTGTAGGCACTACAGGAATCGACGTAAATGAAAGAATTAAGTACTGAGCAGGTATGTTTATTTGCCTCGGTATGTTTATTTGCCTCCTCTTCTCAGATGTTCAAAATACAAATTTAATGTGCCGTGAAAATGCCGTCACTTCTCAATCTCAAGAATAAACCCAAGTCACGGACCCGTAATCACAACAATTCTATACTCCAAATGCTATAAATTTAGCAGAAACATTCATTCTTAAATAGATTTTTCACTTCCAAACCTGATGCTCAAGGAATGAAAGAGGCTTCTCTATTTAGTTTTCTAAATTAGCATTGAATTTTTTGGTTTCACATTTTTATGATTTAGTTAGTCCTTAATTAATTACAATAAACTTGTCAAGAGCAAATAAATTGGCACGGTTTTGTTTTAACCATTGTTCAACAAGATCTTGAGGTTACAACATAGCTCCACACATATGAGAGTCGAAGTAAATTACATTTGGATAATGAGGGATTAAAATAAAAGCTCTGGATTCTATAAATCTCCCAGGGATTTCCATGAACAAATTTCATGTCTTCCCATGTCTCTAATCAAAAGGTACAGACTGAATTTGTTTGTAAAGAAAAAGGTTATCAGAATTAAATCACAAACTAAAATAGACTTTGCGAAGGAAAATAAAGCATGTAAATAGCTGCGAACAAAACTAAGTTTTGTTCCAAGATGAGACTGAAATTTGATTTCATCAACTACAAACAAACTTGACCGTAGAGGAAATACAATAGCTATAAGATTTGGCTTTGGGTATGACAGCTCGGCAAGTCAATTTGGGTTTATTTCAAAATGATATAGTTTTAAATAAAAATAAAAATATCAATTTAGAGTTAGTTTGTTATATGTCGTTAGCTAACCTATCATGTTACCCAGCTTTTACTGAATAATAATTATTATTATTCATTTTGATTCAAAAGTTCAGCCTGGTTTGGGTCAGGCATCAGGTCACTCTATTGATCTGTTATCGCTATGATTAATACATGTCCCGGGCTCAAATTGTTGGGTTAAAATTGGTATTTCCACTAGTTCAACTCTACAGGTCACAAATGACACCATTTTGCTCTCTAGCCTCTCCACAACGTGCCCGCAGATTTTCTTGCTTTTGCAAAACTTGGGTCTAGACCACAATTTTCGGTGGGCTCTTACATGAGTTTTTGCTTTATCAAACAGATTTTTAAGTGTAGCTAGGGTAAAAACAGCTTCACAGCATTACCAATCCACGCGGGGTGGAAAATGACGCAAAAGGATAAAGGAAAAGTGGATGTTAAATTGAAAAAAGAGAGGAAAAATGTTGCAAAATCCAAGAAATTCTTCTTTTGAAAATTCCTTTACCCTGCCACATTTTTTTATGAAGGTGACACTTTGTCCTTGTTTGGTGTGTAAATTTTAGCATATTTTTTTTTTAAATTTACAGGAAGCTAAGATACTATTCTATGTTAGTTTAAATGAGCTTATTTTTTTAATTAAAAATTTAAGGTAAATATTCAAAATTTTCATATAGATTATCTGTTTAAATTTTGATATTAATAATGACATTTTGTTTAGATAAAAAAAATAAGAGTTATCACCAAGTTAATAGGTGATCATCCACTTAATAATTAAATATCAAGTCAATAATTTTAAATTTTAGTTTATAAAAGAAGGTATTTGTTATAAATTTAGACATTTTAGTTTTCAGATTAAGATCATATTTTTTATTTCTTCTTTATATTTTTCTAATGTTCAAGTTTTATTTTATATTATAGTGTTATTAATTTTTTGTTTATGTTTTTCATTTTATTTACTATACTTATATAATCATGTTATCCTCTTGTTTATTTATGTTTTTTTTTTCTTTATTATGTTTAGATAAGTTTATTTTATTAAGGTGAAAATGTTTCATTAACATTGTTAAGATAAATTTAATATAAACTTAATATGGATTTCAATGTTTATATCCTAAATAACTTTCTATTAACATGTCTTATTATTTTTATGTTATTAATTCTTAATATCTTACTTGTTAAATAGTTAATCTAGATTTGTGTTATATAACATTTGGTATAACAAATATTTGGTTTTTTTATAACTAATTGTATGGTATAACCTACACTTGTGTTATGAATAATAATAATAATAATAATAATAAGTTAAAGAGGGCAGATTAGTGTAAAGATTAAATAATGATAAAAATAAATGTTAAGGTTAGAGGATCCATTAATTGTATTAAAAATAAATATAATATAAACTCTTTTTATTACTTAACTGAAAATCAAAAACAAATGCCAAGTATTTGTTTAATCTTGATTATTAAACATAAGTTAACATCATAAACTCTTTTTATACTCAATGAACTTGATTTATTGTTAATATAAGTTAACATTATAAATTCTTGATAATATTTAAAAGTTTTGTATTACTTAAATAAGATAATTAATATGATTATGCTAACAATTTATAATAAGTTATTAATGACAAATCATCCGATTTGAACCTTCTTTGTGTGTGATTTTCAGTTGAGTAATAAAAAGAGTTTATATTATATTTATTTTTAATACCATTAGTGTATTTTCTAACCATAACATTTGTTTTTATCATTATTTAATCTTTACACTAATTTGTCCTCTTTAACTTATTATTATTATTATTTGTAATTTATATAGTTAACTTTTCTGTGGTTCGACCCTGATTTTACTGGATTATTTACTTTGACACTTTTGCATTTAAGAGAAAACATCAATCTTTTAGTCTTGTTAAGCCTCAATTTAGAAATTTGTTTTTTCTTTGTTTATTATGTCATGTATGAATTTTTTTTATTGGAGAACTCAAGCCAGGATAAAATGACTCGTTTTCAGCTCATATCCTTTTACATTGACTATCAAGTATTTGAATTAATGATTATATATTTTTTTCATTCATTGTGTTTTTTTTTATTTAATATGTGATGTGTAAACTATAATTTATTTTGAGAACTTAACATAGATTATAAGACATGTTATCAACTCCTATCCCTAGACATTGACTATTAGATATTTGAATTGTTGAATACATATTTTTATCTGTTCATAGTACAAGTGAATTTAGATTGGATTAACATATCCCACATAAGCCGATCAAGAATGAGTGGTGACCTTCGAGTCCTTTTTAATCCATATAAGCCTTACAGGTTTAATATTTATTCATAACATTAAATGATGATTTTTTTGTTCTTTTTAACTTTACCCCTATGTACATATAGCTTGCCTTAATGTCTCCTAGGACACATGTTATGAGTCAGGTTGGGTTGATTAAATTTTTTGTTGAACAAATAAGAACAAAATATACAAATAGAAAATATTTGAATCGATATAAAATTAGAACCCCAATTGGAACTTTGACTCTCCATTTATTGTGTTGGTGTCTAAATTATATTATACATAACAAATCATCCTCTATATGTTTTTTTTTAACTGAATATTTTATACATGTAGAAATAAATAGTAATAGCCTTAAAAAATATATAGTCACATACCAACAAATAAATAGATAAACAAATTTTATTTAACCTTAAAAACTAATCATTATCTTAGAAATGCATACCATTTAAAAGTCTATATGTATAAAAAATGTGTTGGAATACATAAAAAATTATATATACCAATATAAAGAGATTTCATCAATGATTAGGCTTTTAAATACAACTCATACACACACACACAAACACACACAAACACACACACATATTATAGAAATTATTAAATGACATGGCCAAATACACTATAGGCACCTTTTACAATTCATTGTGAATTACTAAAATGATTTTTTTTTTGTAATTGAAGTTTTTCTCATCAATTTAAGTTCTTTTTTGGCCAAATTAATAATTAGTTAGCTTTAATATTTTTAAGAAAAGTTAGGGTTGGAAAATGGTGGATTAAATAGAAAAAGATGAGGATGACATGTGGCACTTTAAAGTTAGCATAAAGAGCTCGTTTTGACCCTTATATTTTTTAATTTCTATTTTTATTATATTTTAATTTTTAAAATTTTAATTTTGATGTAAAAATTTATTTTCTTTATTTTTAATCCCTAGTTTAAGAGAGTAAAGAAAGTAATCAAATTTTAGTTGAAAAGAAAGAAAGTCTTGATTGATACTAATTTTTGTCAAAAAAAAGATTGATTTAGATGTTAATGAGTTATATTTGAGTTATATTTAATGAGGAAAACATCACCGAGATGTTATTTTTCCTTTTTATCGCCTGAGTGATAAATCTAAACTCAATGAATATTAAATTCAAGTTAATTATGGATTTTTGAATTGGTTTTAAAGTTATTTAAAGCCATTAATAGATTTTTTAAAAGTCTTTAGTTTGTTTTTTTTTATTTATTTTAGGTAAAAAAAAAGGTTTAAAATTGAATTTTTAGATTAAAAAACTTATGACCAAACTTTCCAGTAATCTTTTGGTAATCGAAAACTTGGCTAACAAACACGGGTCATTTACCCTTTCATACAAAAAAATTAAAGAGGCCTAGCTTATGAGCCAAGTTTTTTTGGATGGGCCCAACGCGCATGTGTGTCTGGCTTGTTTTGTTTATATATATATATATATATATAAAATCTTTCCTTACATTTTACATTTTAATTCATTTAAATATATATATGTGGGATGTCGACCCAGAACATATTTAGTTTTATTTTAGATAAATTAAAATAAATGGGTTAAATATATTTATGAGATTTTTAATTTTTAATTAAATTTTTTCTTAACATAAAGCATTGAAAATGTATCTACAATCAGTTTTTGTGTTAAAAAAAATTTGGGATGTAACAGTAAAGCACCCGACAAATGACTAGTGCTTCTGTTATATATTAAAGTCTTCGAGAGTATTTTCATCTCAAACGTCACAATATGAAGGTTCTCACTAAAAGTTTTCTTGTAGTTAGCCTCGCCATAGGCATGATTTTCATGTCAATATATCAACCAGAATATTTCTGTGGGCTAGAGTACGATGTTCGAGTCATCAATGGGTTCACAAACAACTCATCACTGCCACTAGTCATATGGTGCTCATCAGACAGTGATGATCTCGGTGGACGTGCCCTCCAGGAAGGTGATGATTTTAGTTGGAGACTCCAGATCAACTTCTGGTGCAGTAATCATTTCTGGTGCACCATGAAGTGGGATGCAATGAGGAGGAAGTTCGATGCCTTTACGGTTCCAAGGGATCTTCAGCGTTGCAGCCTTTACAGGAAGTGCTCTTGGTTGGTGAGGGAGGATGGGTTTTATTTCAGTAATGATGAAGTAAACTGGAAGAAAGACTTCTCATGGTTATAAATTATAATTAGTATCTGGGCATCACGACTTCTGCGCTAGCTCTTGCTGTTGCTAATTCGATGATTGTATTTTAAGAGAAGTCTTGTTAGATTTTAATCTAAGGATATAATATTGTGTCGTCAATAATGAAGGGAGAGCAACTGATCAGTTGATTCATGTTTATTACAGGAGTGTATTGATTAATAGAAGCTCTCAACCTTGTTTCAATAATTAAATTAGCTTTTGCCTGAAACAGCAAGTTTTTCTTCTCTGGAATGCCGCTTGGCAGTATCATTGCAGCTATAATTTTAAGAAAACATATATAGGAATGTTGTACCGCTTTTCTAGTTAATATGGACTATATCATATATTTTTTACATTTATCCTGCAAAAAACAGCATCTGAACTAAATTAATGCTGATTTATTAATAACTGCTATCAGAGAATAAGTATAATGGATTTTTCTTTTTGACCAGACATGAAAGAAAATATTACTTACCAGGTGTTTTCGTTCAACACTTACTATATATGGGCATTAAGCCTAGGTTTCTATATATATATATATCAAGAAATGCCATTACTTAAAAAGCAACATGTATTTTCTTTTTGATGGAAACCAATCCTTATCTGTAGAAGAGAAGTTGATCACGCAGGGCTACATGTTTACACACACGCACACACATATATATAATCACTGTCAAATTACTGATGATGAAATATGCTGCAGATTTCACGTCAGAAGTTGGCCCTTTTTTACTTGGGGTCTATCTTTATATGTTTGGTCAAGAATTCAACCTGCATAATCTGCTCTGAATTAAGCTCATGGAACCCAAACCATCTTTTGCTAACTTGAAAGGCTTTATAATTTACTGATATAGGCTTTGCAGATACTACAAAGTGGAATTGAATCACTATTAAAACACCACCATGATAACGATTTATCAAGGAAATGTCAGACTCCCTAGCAATGGAGCTAATGCGTCCAATGTATGGATGAGCAAGTAGGATCATGATAAAGGAAACCCTCACCTCAATTTACATCAAACAAAAAGTATCCTCACTAGCTATAGAGCCAAATGGGCAAATCGAGACAAATCATATACAGCAGGACTAGCACAAGTGCACAACAGCAACAGTCCTTTTCTGTTAACAGAAAGAACAAAACTGAAGGGGAATTACTTCCCACATAAATGTTTTTGCTTTCATTAGAAACAAACAGAAATTCTTAAATCATTGCACTGTTCCATTAATACTGCTTCCTGTATGGCCGGCATGATCTTATGTCCTATCACATAAAATCTACGTACCCCATCTCTTTAGATAAATGCCACCTGGGGCTATTTGATAAGGTGGTAGCAGACATTGACAAATCATTCTATGTTTGAGCATAATGCTTTCCATTAATGTACAAAAACAAAAGTGAAGAAAAGAAAGAAAGACTCTCCAAAATTGCTGTTGTGCCTGTTCCCCAGTGTTATCGCCACTGCTATCTGATATACAGTGTTATTATTAAATCATATTTTTTTAGAAGATTGATGAATAAAACCAGCTGATTAATTAATGTAATGAAGTTGAATTTTGCTTCAGTTTTTTGGAAATAAAAATAATTTTTATGCTATATTGATAAATACAAAACACTATAATTACTAGAATTACTAATAGAGATTTCTTCCTTGATCATGACAGACATTCAATAACTCATTAATCTATTCTCGTAACTTCTAATAGCTTGTCAGAAAAGAAGGAAGATTTTAGACTCGACCGAATATGGTACTTAGACTCAATACATCGTTAAGACAAAAGGAAATACTTTCACATGTTTCATTAAAAATCATTTTAGAATATTTAGCCCTTTTTTTTTAAAATAACATACTGCAACTATGTATAAAACATTATTAGAACATGAGGGAAAGGTATTGCAAGTTGAACTCTTCTCTTAAACATACTCAAATTTCCTATTATTTATTGAATTAAAAAATACTTCGGCAAATTTGGCCTTGTACTTTTATTTCTGTAATTGAACTTCACATTTATTTTATATATATATATATATATATATATATATGAAGTGAAATTTACTTTCAAAATGAAATTACATATACATCTTTCGAATGTTTGAAAAAAAAAAAATTTTAGAGAGTTAAGTGATAAACTATCTATACTTTTGAGAAGAAATTGAAATTAACAAAATATAAAGTCATTCTCCATTGAAGGACGTTATTGATAAACAAAAGAAATGGAAGGGGTAATTGATAATTAAACAAACTTTTTTTAAAATTTTGATAAAATGTATATAATTCAAAGAAATAAAATAAAATAAACCCTTTTTTTTTCAATTGAAATGCATATTGGCATGGATATTAACATCCAAGCTGATAGCTTACTTGCAGGGAAAGGTAAACCGAATTAGGTTTGAGATAATATCAATTATTACTTTAATGAAAGTATAGGGGTAATTGGCACAAAATAAAAGTTGAGATATCCTTGCGTTTTGTGAAGAAACAAAGCTTCTTTTTTTTTTTTAATTTCAAAAATTGTGAAATTTGATCAAATAGGATTCTCTTAAAATAGTTTAATCAAATCAAATCCTTCGCTTCCAATTAAAAGGTATAAATGATGCTACATGTATGTTTATATTAACATATATAAGACTTGTATTCAAAATAAAAGATTCTGGCTTAATTTTGTAACAAGTTTTTTATTTAATCAAAAATTTATTTCTAACTAGATATATTTTTAATTTTTCTGACTCAACAATCAAAAGCTAATATGCAAAATTTACCCCGAGAACATGACCTTTTATCCTGCTTAAAGCATGGGATTAAGATCTGTTGACGTTAGTATGTCCTTAATTTTTACTTTTATTTTAATTTGAGTTAGGCAAATGTGGGATGGGAAGTGTTCAGAGTTGAAGAAGTAGCTGCTGGCCTGAGCAGTGGCAATTGTTTTCATGGGGTTGTTCTGTGAACAATATTGTTCATAGAACAGTTAGAATATTGATGGTTTGAGAGAATAATAAAAAGAAAAGTAGAATGATTGGATTTTATTAAAAAAATATTTAAAAAATATTATAATTTAAACAGACTGTAATGTGTTTTAAATGGGAGTTAATTAGAGGTAAAATTTAAATTTTTTTATTTAAAAAAACAACACCACCATACTTTCAATCACCTGTAATGGACAACCCCCCCCCCCCCCCCCCCCCCACCACAACAACAACCACCGTCCAAGGCCCCCCCCCCCCCCCCCCATCAGCACAGACATCCCCCTCCCTGTGCACATGCTTCACTGTAACTTTGCCAGTTTCTCTTCAGGAGATGTCTTATTTGTGGTAAGAGGACAGCATGAATGGGAGCCGCCTCTATAATCTGATCTTGGACAATCATTTGTTTAACTACTTGGAATGCCACCTCTAGCTAGCTAGCTAGGACGACTTTTCTATAGCCACCCAACCGTGCTCCATCGATTCCAGCTCAACTCCCCATGAATCTGCCGTATCAGAATTGCATATGCCCATTAGTGAACCGTCCCACATATTTTCCCTTCCAATATTATTTTCTTAGCACAATCTACCTGCTTGCCCCAGCAATCCGGGGTAGTTTATTTGTGTTTCTTGTCCCACAAGTGATTACCCCACTTATCCTGGGTTGCTGTTTGCCTGTTAGGCATATCATTAAGACTTGCCATCATGATGGTCCTACTTAAGTCTTTCGAAATCGCATGCTGGGAACTTTTTGTCTAGGAGAATTAGTATTTAATTATGCACTGTACTTTTTGTATAATATATGCTGTTACAGATCAACACAATACTGTTGATGCTCCACCGCAATGGCTAAGGTTTTAATCATGTTTCTCTTTAAGTACCTCTTTGGTATAGCAACAGCGGCAGCGGTAATGACAGCAAACAAACACTGAATTAAAATAAACACTGAATTAAAATGTTTAGTTAATACATACCATATATTTTTTTTTTTACATTTGTATTATGAAAAGTAGTTTTTATCTCTTTCTTCATCTTTTGTACATGAAGAATGTCTCAGCTGTTCACATAAATAGTAGAGACTATTTCTATTATTCCGGCTGAACAAGGTTTGGTTTAAAACTGAAAATGTATTGAATCGGGTCCGACTCACTAAAATAAAAATATTTTTTTTTATTTTTTATTTTTAATTGTATTTTATTCAAAAAATTAGTATTTCACGTTATTCAATGACACTACATATCATTAGAAACAAATCGCTTGATGACGTAATATTTGTAGAATTTAATTGTAATTTCAATTTTATTCCTGATGATATTTTACCTAATGTTATTGTTTATTTATAAAACTAATGAAATTGTAGTTCTTATCAGATGTATTTCATATATAATGGGATTGCAGATATTTTAATAGAACAATAAAAAAATATTTTATATTAAGTATTATTCATTTCATGATATAATAGCGGTAATTAAATTTATAATATTTAAATTAAAAATCATCAATATAAATATATTTTTTAAAATTATTTTATAACTTCAATTTAAAAATTATTTTTAACGAAACACATTAAACTATTTTTTATTTAACATCAATTTTAACCACATATATATAAATATCAAACCAATCTCAACCAAAAATACTTCTTATAAAATATTTTTTTTCAAACCACGACTACAAATAATTACAACGTAACTAAATACACTATAAAAATAATAGCATATTTAATTATGCTCCACCGTAAAGTATGCACGTCCATGTTACGGAAATTTAAATTAGTTACCTCAAGAAGAGATCATAATGCTTCAAAATGTTGTAAGAACAAGTTCGCTTTTAATTTCGAATTTTGAATCTTGATTAGGATTGGCTTTGAATGGATTTGGAGCAATTCTTGCATGTCCTATAATCGACAACACCTAAGCCATTTTCCATAAATAAATGAGAGTTCATGTTAAAAGGACAGCAGAATCAGGCAGAGAGTGTTCCTAACAAAATGACTGGTTTTATCAGCTTTCTTCTCTTCCTTGTTCTCCCACTATGCCTTCTGAGCACTGCAACAGCAGATGAACAAAATGAGCATCGTCTACCCTTTGTTCAAGATATCAATGCCTTGCCTAAAAACTCAAAACCAAAGCAAGTTAGCTGTTCAACCAAAAACATTGACGTCGGAAAGCGCTCTCTTGTTAATGGTGAAGTCTTCACATGGAGAAAGCTTCATTCCTGTGGAGCTTTATGGTAAAGATTCTTTTCATCCTGGCATGCATTTCAACCAA